ATAGCGTTTGTTATAGTGCGACTGTTGAAGTTAAGTGTATTGCAAAGTTGTATTCAGAAAGAATAAACCAGTTTTATTTAAGAAAGGACTTGTATCGGTAAAGTTTCTTCGTAAAGAATTTTTACGGAAAATTAACTAACGACCGGAGGCGTAACAGTATTGTATGTTTATTGTTGGTTTTCATGTTTCTCAAATGTATTAGTCTATATTCATAAGGTATATTGTAAATATTGTTTTTGCTCTCTTTTGAGTCCTAAGGTGGTTTGATGAGTACTAAATTTGATCGTACTGTGTTGTGGCTTGTGAATACTGTTATGATTTTGTGCTGTTTGCATATCCTTTAAACTTTTTCAGAGAGTCTTTTGACATAGGGAACATGGCTGTATGTCTTTAATTTTCTTCCTACTTATTCTATTTGTTTTATTTTTTGCTTTATTAAGTGTTTAGAGCAAGTAGTATCAAAACTGGTTCAATAAAGTGTTTTTCTTATTCGTTTTAGCAAGTTCTGTGTTAAATATATTCTTCATTCTTGAGACTAACTCGCCTATGATACACATCTTTACATTTTTTGGGTGGTTTGATCCAGTGCAGAGGTGCTTACCTCTTATATGTGGATTTTCTATGAACTCCAATGTAACTCTCGCCAGGGTGCCCGAGATTATCTTCGATTTCTATCGCGAATCGTATCCCCTTCCTTTTGTTGGTAGCATTTTCTTCGTCTTGGAAGTAAATTGTGTTTATTCTGAATGTTGTGAGTTATATTATTATTGAGATGCCCATTTTGGTACCTTCTTTGAAAGACCTATCATTTTCAAGCTGTTGGCAGAGTATTTGCTATGTTTCAAGGTTTGGTACATTAGTGAATAGGTTAGATATATCCAGTTAAGGATAGCATGAAGAATATATGCAGTTAACTCTGGAACAGAGATGGTGGCCTTGTTTGTGAATTTTAATTACATCATACATATGTGTGTATGGGGGTGTGGTGCTGCGAGATACTGTTGATTATTTTACTGTTTTTGTTTCAAGTTGGGGGGGTTAGGGTTAATATTTACTTTCTCGTTGTTAGTTAGTCGTCGTAGGTACGTTACCTACGTAGTACTTAACTTAAACTTTAACCTTTCTACTTCTTACCTAA